CATCTCAGGCAGAAAATCAGGTTAAAGCAGGACCTCATTTAAAGGGCCTTATATGTAAGAGCTAAGGTTTGCTCCCCACCATTTGAAACCAGGTAGGACTGGAGGTAGGACACTCATCTCCATTGCAAGAAGGAAGATAAGCTACAGGAGAATTCGCCACTGGTGAGAGAGTGGAGGCTGCTGATGGCTGGCAGCACTAAGTGAGGCTGCATCCGTCTAACCTTCAGTAAAGCAGTTTTAGTTGCCGTAATCCCTTAGAATCATAGATTCGGAGAATGCTTTGGGTTGGAAGGGACCTTCAGAGGTCACCCAGCCCAACCCCCCTGCAGTGAGCAGGGACAGCTTTAACCAGATCAGGGTGCTCAGAGCCCCGTCCAACCTGACCTGGAATGTTGCCAGGGATGGGGCCTCCACCACCTCTCTGGGCAACCTGGGCCAGTGCCTCACCACCCTCATTGTAAAAAACTTCTTCCTTATATCCAGTCTAAACTACTCTCCTTTAGTTGAAATCCATTATTCCTTGTCCTGTCACAACAGGCCTTGCTAAAAAGATTGTCCCCATCCTTCCTATAGGCCCCCTTAAGTACTGTTTATCCCTTTGGCAGCATGGTTCAACTAAGCGGTCTGTGGGACCAAACACAGGTTGTTGCCACTTTCTCCAGTGCAAACATGGAAAGTAACTCTTCCTGCAGCTGCCTGCAACCCAGGCAGCTCAACACCCACCCCAGGGCGAGGTCAGGGCTCACAGGTAGATCCTTGGGGTACGGCTATAACATGGTAGGCATGGGACAAAGAAACAAGGACCAAGATTTGACTTGCACCAATCTGTAATGTCCCACAGTAATGAAGGCTGCTCCCAGGGATGCACAGGACACGTGCGGAGAGCTTACTGCATCCACATTGCAGGTGGGATGCTCAACACGATATCCCAGCTTGTGACTTCAACTTTACTTCCAGCGGGAGGGAAACCACTTTGCAAGCATCACTTGTGCACGTATGTGCATAACACAAGGTTGCACGTATAGACACAAGGAAAATTCACACTTAAATAGCTTCCTCCCAGCACCGTAAATCAGTGACGTAGGCACACCCTTAGTGCCTAAGGGTGCCTATTGCTACTCTGTCCATAGGGGAAATAGGGTGAGGCTGTATGCAGCCCTCGTCCTGTGGACACAGACAGCCCCTGCTTTAGACCTATGTCACGTTGAGACCCCAGAACTCCTACAGAGCTCTATGGCTGCGACGGGGCACTCGGTGACTCAGCTGCTATGGGGAGAGGGAAAACCAGCTGGGTAATACTGGTTGGGAGGCAGAAGTGGCTACTGAAGCAAAAACCTACTTTGTATCAAAACACATGACGCAGATTTTACTGATGAATTAGAAAACAATCCTGTTCTCCTAATCACGCACAGAGATTTCTTGCAACTCCAGAGAAATGTCAAAACCAAACAGTAAATAGAAGAAACCCTGGGTCTCGAGCCTTGGTGTTGCCTTGGAGCATGACACAGATAAAATAATCTGCCCTTCAGGCAGTGAGCAAAGCTGTTGCTTGCACCGGCTCCCTAATGTTGACCAAGTGAAACACCACGTCCCACCTGATATGCCTGCTTTTGTTCAACCTCAGAGCATCCCCGTAACAGCAAAGGAGACCTAGGAGAAAGCGTGCACAGGAGAACACAGCTAGCACATTTTAAGTTACTGTGTGGAGGTGGCCCATACCACACCTTGGAAGGAAGGGCTGCATCCAGAACTCCCCCTCTGCTGCCTCCTGCTTGGCTCAAGCTGTGCATTGCACTGTGAATGCTCCCTCCGGCTTTGCAGGGCCAGCGATGACCATTGCCTTCGTAACAAGCAAAGGTAATCATGTATTCCCAGCTGGAATACAGCAGTTTATCCCTAACACACAAAAGCACTTGCAGGAAATACAATACAGGGGCAGGCAGGTAATGCAGAGTTAATGCACCTGGGAGAAACACTTTCATACTGCCAACAGGTTCCTTAAAATTTCACAGTTTATGATAGAGATGGTTTAATAATTATTTCAGTGAGCCGAACATTGTTCAACAGGGATGATTATTACAGACAGCCACGGTCTGTTAAGGTTTGTGCTTCCTGTGAGTGTTTCTAAATCTTCTATCTCACTAGCAAATTCTGAAAACTTAGATTATTTTACTCTGGAATTAAAATTGGAAACAAATCTGAGTTTGTGACATTTAATAGTGTGACTTTGAGAAAGTATTGCGATGTTTTTCTATCCTGCCAACCAGCTCTAAAGTCTATCTTCTACTACTGTCTCTCCATTTGGTTTATTAGCTTTTTAATATAAAGCTTTTTAACCAGTAGAGAGGATTCAGAGTGGAAAATATCAAGCAGTAGTCATCACTTAGCAATTGCGATGTCCTTTACCATGGGTCCGAAGAGTTTCATTTTAGACTTCAGCTCTGCAGGCTTACTCTGATACGAAGTTTGAAATCTACTGGTTTATCAGTCTTGGCACTACTTGAAAGAACTGCACTTGAAAGATGAATATGCTGTGAAACACCCTTTAACTAGTAATTTTTAGGAAGCAATCGTGCAGAAGAAAATATAGCTCTGTGAATGAGGACTGGGAGAAAACAGTAGCATAATGGGAAACATGCAGACGTTTCAGGCAAGTCATCAGACCCTGACAAAAATGGAGCCTTCTAAGTTCACAGATCAACACATCTGAAAACGCACACGGATAAAATCTTCCTCTGGACTAATTTTGCTCGTATCTTCTTTAAAAACCACAACAAAACAGGAGATGTTCTGCTGTGCTTTGAGGAGACCATGGGCACCAGTTGCGGACACCTGATTCTCAACCTATCTGCTAAAGAGGTCAGGGCTGGACTGAAAAAAAAGAAAATAAGAAAACACAGAAGAACAGAAAAGGCACAAGTGCACACAGTCCTGAAGAAAATGCTATAGCTCAGCCTATGGACTTTCCAGAGGTGCTCACTGCCAAGTTATGCAAACCACTGCAGCTCCAGTGCGCCGGCTTTGAAGATGCCTCCAGTGTAAAATCCCTTTGGCTCAGTACCACGTCCCGTAGGAGAAAGTACCAGATTCAGCCCTTTCTGCAGAAATTTTGGAAGGGAAGACGCCTGTGTAAGAGGACAGGGCTAATCTGTGCTTTAGGACTGGTAGCTGGCCCCTGCTGAAAGACAACTAGGAAACGACTTTCCCTCCTCCATGTTCCCTAAGAAAATGTAATACTGCCAAAGAAAAATCAGTGTGGAAAAGAAAAAGTACATTTCCGACTAAGAGAAAAGAAAAAAACCCCAACCCTCCTCTCTCCAGCCCCCCTGCACATATAGTCTTGGTTTCACCACCAACAAACCTGACAGCAGCTTGAACCACAACTAAACTTTTCTGACATCCAAATAATTCAAAGCCTGACAGTGATAACCTTCTCCCCTCCTAGTCAGGACAACTTAAAAGGTGAATTGGTTTGTGGACGTGGTTCTGCTGATCCTCAACAGCCTGAAACACAGCCCAGTTTAACTCCACGTGGGCTAGTATCTTCTCGACTAAAGGAACAGGAGCTTGTGCTTCCAGCCAGTGCCTCCAAAGCAGCAAATCTCCTGTCTTTTGGTACGCTGGTTCTGCTCTACTTGGAACCGTATTTACTATGGCATAAGACATCTCTTCTTTGTACCTAGAAAAAATACTGAATGAATCATGCGGATCCCTACAGCCCCTTAAGGACATCAGCAACAACTTCATGGCTATCCTGCCAGATGCTTGAACAGGCTGAATAAAACCTGCCGCCCCGTGCTGCACAGCACCTGATAGCAACAAACAGGATGTCTGAGAAACGAAGGCAGCAACCAGCCCCACTTCTCAAAGCATCTGATGAGAAAACGCTGCAGTGTATACGCTACAATGCTCAACTTCAACACCTCATTAAAAAAAGGGAAAAGATCTCTTATTTCAGATTGTTTTCTCTCTTTTTTATTTTCTTTTTTTTTTTTTCCAAAGGAAATTTAGTGCCAGAAAAAGACCTGAAGGTCCCAGCCACTGGGAGAGAGTTGACACATTGAATTCTCCATGACACATTCAATTCACAAGCCCCTGCTCAGGCTGCCAGAGGTACCAATTAGCACCCGTGGTGGAGATCTTATTTATTTAATTTCCACAGAAACTTGTTTAGCAAGATACCGACAGGGGCAAACAGCCTTGCGTGTGGCTAGAAACAGCTTTACTTGAGCCACTGTCAAAGATGGCAGCCACAGATCACATGGGGATCATGCAGCCACGGCTTCACTAACGCAACCATTTAGAAGTTCGGGACGGGCAAAAAAAGAGCAAATGGTAAGGACTCTCGCACCACTGTACCCATGATTTCTGCTGACAGCGATCCTGGGTTTCTGGAGGACATTTGTGCACATTGTGGAATTGCAACAAATTGCAGTTTTCACCATGAAACTTCAAAAAATGCCATTCCTCCTATGAGCAAGAGGATTTTTTCAAAGAGCTGTTAGTGACCTCCTGCAATGGGACTTCTCCTCCCATGTGACTTCTGTGCTATGACCCAAATTAGCCACCTATGAAACCCGTGCCCCCATCCACCCAGCGGAGCAGACACGGCTTTGTT